GGGGGGGGGGGGGGGAGGCATGAGGGAACGGTGGGGAGTCTGGGGTTCTCTTGCTCGAAGACGGTTTGCAGTATTTATGTTTAGCCAGTCCCAGTGCAAAAAAGATCGCTTTGACTGAGGTAAAGCTCACAGCATTGAGCCTTGACCAGAGCTAAGAAGACACTATTTGGGTTTACTTGGGCACAGAGTGAGCCTTCTCCAAGTTGACGCCCTCAGAGAAAGGCCCATTAGTTTTGCCAGGAAAGGATGGTCCCTGGCTGGAATGTGGAATGACCACGTTTCATGTCCAGGAGGTACAAGGGATAATGTGCACAGCACAGCCACCGAAAAGCCTTGAGAGCCACTGGGGAGAGGGGAGCAGTCGTCGTCATCTCCTCCTGCCCCCTCCGCCGCCCTAGGGTGCAGGCTGTGGGAGGGATCCCTGGCCTGGATGGTTCGGCTTTGTCTTACCTATCCCTTCCAGCCCAACAGGTGGGGCCGGGGGATGCCATGGGAGTTTCCCCTTGCTCTGTGGCCAGATTGCTTTGCCTTCCCTCAGTTGGTTAAACAGACTGCTGGAATGTCAGCAGGTTAGGGGCAAAGCTTTCACTGTTGTGGGGGGTTTGGATCTGGTTTTATTTGTGTGTGTGTTTTCCCCAGGATCCATCTGCCCCCTCCAGAGCTGCTATGGCAGCATTAATCCACTTAGGTTACAGCCAGGAATCAAGTCCCTGTTTTCCACTTACGTTGTTATTGAGATGTGGGAGAATCTCTAGGACTCTTCTGCTTCTGTAAGACAGTCTGCCCCCTGCCCTGCCAAGCTACGGGGGTGTCTTGTTAATCAGGGAGCCTGGCTTCCTAGAGAGCAGAAGAGCCTTCCAGTTACACCACAGGATTCTGAGCGGGGGAGCAATCAGTGGGACTTAAAAAGATGCCTCTGCCCGCTGAGGAGCATCAGCAGCCTCTAGTTCCATACTGCCCTTGAGTTCCTCCTCAGAAATAGGCTCGGGGGAGGGAGGCCTCATGCTGCCCCAAGGACAGGGCACCTTCAGTTCTGGGGCCCGGTCCTGTGGTGTTTCAGTGGTGCCACCTCAGTTCCAAGGAAGCATTAAAGCTTGGCTCTTGCAGTGCACCTGTGCCAAGGAAGTCTTCTGGCCCCTGCTGAAATGTGTGGCCCCACTGCAGCCTGGAGGGTGAATTGAATCAGTGTCTTAATCTCAAACAGGAAAGATGGAGATTGTGACAGTGGCATTACAGCAACGCTTTTCCTGTCTTCTTGGTATGCCAATTCACACCCAATTCCCAACCCTAACCCTGCTTCCCTTAACTAATACTGTGTGGACAGTGATGAATGAGCTTTGTCGAAAGGCTGAGGCTCTAAATTGGTGGCGGCGGCGGCAGCAGCAGTGTTGGCTGATGAGCAGGGAGGGAGGGCTGCTTTCTGACTTGAACCAGGCAGACATCCAAATATCGTCCCAGGTGCTTCCCTAGGGCATCACCCCACCGATCTGCTTGCCTCTGCTGTGCAGTTGATCAGCGTGAAAAACTGGCCTCCCTGGACTCTGAGCAAATGTTACTTCTTTCCCGTCCTGTGTGGTTGGACTGTGGGGACCACTCCGCTGTCTTCGTTTTAAAGGCTGAGTATTACGCCAAGGAGCCCCTTGAAGCTGGGAGGACACAGCCTAGGCTGCGCCTTTGCATTCACCACAGGCCTTCTGCAGGGCGCTCCCTTCCTCATCTCCAGGGCCCAGCCACCTTCTTCAGTCTCAGTTTCAGTTTCCTGAACTGCTTGAGTGGCTTCCTGCAGACCATCATTGGGCTTAGCCTGGCAGTCATGGGTGGTAGATGTTGATGGAGGGAAAGGTGGCAGAAAAAGCAGCAGTTTTCCTTGCTCAGGGACACTCAGGCGATCTGGCTTCCAAACTGCATCTCTCCTAAAGGCACTTTTCATCTACACATACACCTTTTCTGCTGCAGGGATACAAGAATATTGATAAAAAACGGGAAAGTTGCATTTTCCATGTTACTCAAGTAAATCCTCATGCCCTTCCTGAGGCTTTTCCATCCCAGGGCATTTGTTCTCAGCTCTGAGCTCTGAGTTTTCCAAGAGCCTTCATGGAACTTGCTTCCCACAATGCCAACCATCGGTTGTGGCCCAAACCAGAGTTCTGGGCACTGTCTCCAGGTCACAATCTTCCTTCTGTTGCAGGTCAAACAACAGACAACACGGTGGGGGAGATTAATCTCCAGGTGGATCTGGCAACACATCCTGCAACTGGCGAGCATAAAGTCACTGTCAGAGGTATACTTTGCAATGCCTCCTTGTCACACCCTGCCTAGGCACTCTGTCTTCTTCAGTTTTTAGCTGCTTTGGGATGGGCAGTTGAAAAGAGCCCAAGTGGGATGGAGAAGGATAGTGGGTCTTTCTTTTTCATTTGCTAGAACTCAGTTTTGTTTCCCTGTTTGTTCAAAGCCAGGATGGTGGCTGGGAGGACATTAAAAATGGCTGCTGCATGACTGAGTCACCTGTGATCGTTTGTTGCAGCACACAAGGATGAATAAAGTGTCTCAAGGCATGACTGCCTCAGTCAGTTGCATTGCCTGAGTAAAGCAATTAGTTAAGAGACAGCATCATTTCAACCTCTGCTATCCAGAGAGAGATGACTGAGGAGACAATGTGCTTTTTTCCTTTCCTGGCCATTCTCCAGCCATATTCCCCCCACCACCCTGACTTTGGTGAACACGGCTCATCCTCTCAGCTGTACTTGACATAAGATAAAGAGGAGGGGTTGGGTGAGTGGGTCCATAAGACCTGCCATGTTGTGAAATGTGTCTGCCTGTGGTCACCGTTGCTGTTCGCAGTTGTAGCAATTGACAACCTCCGCTGGCGGACCAATGCCACGTTCCGCCCCTTTGTGGAGGTCTGCATTCTGGGGCCCAGCCTGAGCAACAAGAGGAGGAAGCACGGCACCAAGAGCAAGAGCAACACCTGGTCCCCGAAGTACAATGAAACGTTCCAGTTGTAAGTGGCTTTTGCCGCCTCCATGGCTGCCCCCCCCCCCCCCGAGTAGCTGGCTGTCATGTTTTTGAATCCCTGCCTTTCCCATCTTCCTAGCCTTCTGAGCAGCGAAGAACGGCCCAGTGCTTACGAGCTTCACCTCTCAGTGAAGGACTACTGCTTTGCGAGGGAAGACCGACTCATTGGTGTGGCTGTGGTCCAGCTCCGAAGCATCCTGGAGAGAGGAAGCTGCAGCTCTGCTTGGCACCCCCTGCGGAGAAGCATCTGCTTGGATGAGGCTGGGCTGACAATCCTGCAGATTCTTTCTCAGAGGACCAGTGACGAAGTTGCAAAGGAGTTTGTCCGGCTCAAGTCAGAAACCCGGTCCGTTGAAGAAACAGCCTGAAATTCCTTGTAAGGAAATGCAAACTTCCAGCCCTGACATCCTTGACCTGTCTTATCGATGTATGAATCATGCATGTGTGCGCAACTCTGTGGGAATGTTTGACTCTGTTTCTGTGTTTGCCAGAACATAAATTACTATATTTGCAAGGTATGTCCAAGAGCTGTCAATCTTTCCTACATGTTCAGGTTCTTAAGGAAGAAATGGAATTGTTCCAATGAAGTGCCAAAACTGCAGTGAATAGCAACATTAGGAAAGGCATCTTTTGAGATACTGATCTTGTCTCATAACAGCCCCTTTCTCGTTGCCACGTCCTGTCTCTGTTTAACTATCCTACTGCCCGTGCAACATCATGTTTCTGCAGACCCATTTCTCCAGCATCTCTTTGGACGCTTGGCCTTGTTTCCTCCCACTTTATGCAAAATCTGTTTAAGTCTTGCTTCTAAAATCCTTTTTCTACCATCTACAGGTGCAGTTACTTCAAGAAAGTGTTTGTAATTTTATAGTTGCTGATTTAAAGAAATGATTTTTTGCATACAAATCTTTAAAAAGTGGAAATGTTTTATGCTGACCTTTTTTCTCCAGTCTTTCATACTTACCACTGTGAGGAAGAGCTGGCAGAGCAAGTTCTCAAGAAGTCTGGCCACGTTTGTTACCGATGTTTAATATCTTGAGATAAGTTTGCTCTCCAAAGCCACCAAGGTAACACCCTATTTGTATTAAGGAGTAATTTTGTCCCTGGGTCCAGTGCTTTGTGGGGCCAGATGGGTCCTGGGCATACATAACCTGCTCTCTCGGCAAAGCCTCCCCTGCTCCATTCAGTGGGGAGAGGGCTCCCTGGGGATATCTTGCTTCCTCCTTTGTGGCCCAATGGAAGAAGGGGAAGACAAGGTACCTGTAGCAGGGCCTCTGGAGGGAGGAGGAGGTGCCGCAGACGGATGCCGGCAATCCTTGGCTTGAGGTCCTCGGAGTGCGAGGAGGATTCCCGGTGAGTGAACTTCAGTACAGTGTGCTAGTTTCCCAGGGTTGTGTTGTGTGAAATGGTGTTGGACTATACAGGGTTAATTAGATGGAGCGTGTTGGTGAGTGGTATCCATCAAGAAGCAATTTTGCTGTTAACATTTCTCACTCTGGCTGTTACAGATGTTGTTTTAGATTCTTAGCTGAAGTCTCAATTAAGTGCTTTCTTATTTTTTATTTTTATTTTCATAAAAGTTCAAAAGTTTCTACTTATGCAACATGCTATGTCCTGCATGGAGGCAAACATCCATGTGATGTAAATATATTTCATGAGAAATTGTAAAATAAAGCCAGAAGAAACTGTTCCTCATTGTTCCTTATTGGCCCGTCAGTTCCACCCAAGAGGCCTCCAGCAACCCAGTGGAACTGCTCTTGGTCTTCCTCCCTTCCCCAGGACCGGACGAGCCCTGGAGAGAAGCAGAGCCAGGCGCCAGGACCTACAGCAAGCTCTGTGCAAAAATGGTCTCAAGCCCTATCCAAGCGGAGCAGGCTGGGTGTGAGAAAACTGAACCGAGCCTTGGAGGAGAAGCCGGCCTTTCCTTGGACACAGTTGCCACATGGCCCTCCTGCTGGGTTCCTTTCTGAAAAGCTGGCTGTTCCTTTCTCAGTCTTTTAAAAAAAGAAGATGGAACCCCAGTGAAGAGGGTGACCCAGACTCTGCTGCCCCACAGGTTCCCTAGGCACATGCATCCCCAGGAGGGGATGTAGGGGAGGCAGGCTGTGCCTCTTGAGTCCTGCAAGGCTGTGGGAGGCTCGGGCCAGGAGCACACAAGGAGGCACTTCCTGCCAACTCCCCCTTCCCGCTGCCCCGCAGGCTGCCTCTCCCAGGTTTATTTCAACTCCCATCTCAGGAGCTCAAATTAAGCAGAAGGGGCAAAAGATGCCTGGCTGCCTCCATCCTGTTGATTGGATTCCCTAACCTGCCTCCAGTCTTCACAGGTAATAAAATCTCTGCTTCTTATTAGGGTTTAATTCTTTTCCAAGGTGGCAGAGGGACAGTGTTGCTGACGGACCGGCCACACCCTCCTCGCAGCTCTTGCCCCCTCAAAAGGCAGGGAAGGCTGCAGCCCCAGGAGCTGCATTACCTGGCCCTGGGAGGAAGGTTGGCCTCTGATTCTCTCCGGTCCTGGAAGGCACTTCTCCCAGCCAGAGGTGAGAGGCTCACCTCACCCTGCTGGAGTGGCAGGAAAGAATCCCCCCGCAGCAGCCAGCTAAGAAAATGAGCTTGGACGCCTCGTACAGGTGTTGCCCAGAGTCACAGATGCATTCCCAAGGCGATACGGGGCACAGCTGGCATGGCTTAGTGTTGCAGTAATAACATGCTACCAAGCTGTCTTTCAAACCTAAGTGGATTTTTACTCCTGGATGGGGTGTGGGGATGATTGTGGACATCCGCTGGGGCAGGGAAAGAGACCTGGACCCATAGGAATCAAGGGAGGGGTGCTTGTAGAGGGTGCACCATGGAGCCAGCCGAGTGTTTTAACCTTTTGTTCTGACCCACCACCACTACCCCCCACCTCCTGCAGCAGGCTGGAGTGGAAGGCTGCAGCCTTGGTTGGATCAACTTTGCTCCAATAAATGCTGCTATGAGAAATGGCAGTTAAACCATGTTTGCCAGTGGATCGCTGAAATATTGCTGAGTTGGCATCTGCTGGTTCTCGATGGATTCTTACCACCCATTTCTTGCATCAGGCTGAGGGGGTGACCGCCAGTCTCGCAGGCAGCTCTGGTGTTTGTTCCAGAAGTTGGGGGGGCTCCTCTTCGGAACGCGGGGGAGCCAGGCAGCCATCTGGGGTTGTTGGCGTTCTTTCATCAGGGTCTGTAATTGGTGGTATTAGGCTGAGTCCGGCAACTTCAAAGAAGCCATCAAGGTGGCTGATGGTCTGCTGGGAGTCCTCCTGCCGTTCCATTCCTGAATCCCTTTGGCTGCAGGAGAGATGAGGATGCAGAATGTGAGCAAATGCCTTCGCTGTGTGTTTTTTCCTCAGCCTGTGGCAGGAGAGAAATGCAGTGCAATTACATGGACAATTGAGCTTTAGGGGGTGTATTTTCAAAGCACAACATGCTTTTGATAGTTTGCCTCCACGGGCAAGAAGGAACAAGCCTTAACTGGATGTCAGTTGGATTTCCATGGCAGAACACAGTCCTGTCTTTCAGTCCAGAGGCTCCAGGAACAGAGGAGATGCCTGATGCCAAAGATCCAAAGTGCCAACTCTTTAATTATTTCTTCACTTGCTCCCAAGTCTAGTGTGCTCAGTGTGGTGGTTCTTAAAACAACCCACGAGAATCGTCACCAGAAAAAAGACCATTAAAATATGCATCTGATTAGTTTAGCTTGTGAGTCAAAAGCCTGCTGTCTTCTGTGCCAGGCACCCAGTTGTTAGCCAGAATACAGAGGATGTCCCTCTGGCGGAGTCCCCTGCTTCTCCTTGTGGGCTGGGATCTACCAGCCAAAGGCCGCTGCCCTATAGGCCCCATTTTCACTGGGTCAGGACTTGCACCCCTTCACAGATTCTTTCAGCTGCCCAGGGCAAAGCCTGTTAATTTGAGTCCCAGCAGTCTCTTCTCACAGTGACAAGTGGGCATGCGTGATTCCTGTATTGCCTTGCAAGCAGGGAAGCCATGCTTGGATCCACCTGGCAAGCAGCCTTTGACTCCCCGTGCCTCTGGGGGCCTGCCCCACATACTTGCCTCCCTTCCCTGGGGTTAAGGTGCATGGACTCAGCTGGGTTTTAAATTGTACCTGTCATTCAGGGCCTCTCTGGCTGTTCAAGCCACTCTGAAGAACCTATAAAGCAACAGTCAACTGCAGCCTTATAGCTATTTGCAAGCTGTGATTTGAAAAGAAGCCAATCTGTTTGCTAATAATTTAATCCAATTAAAAATATACTCAGCCAGACGTGGCGGCTTTAGAAAGCACAAGACCTGAGCCTTTTTGCATAGGCTTTTCTGGGGGTGGGGGCCATAACTAGGAAGGCTCAGCGAGGCAATGATGGCATGTCCATAGGAATCGTGTGGCTCCCTTTACCTGGTTAGGGGGAAGCCTGGCAGCTGCATTTCCACATGCTACGGTTGATTCACTTGAACTATGGTTAAGCCTTCGTGTCCTTTTATGGCTTACCATGTTGTGCAAAGCTGCCCCATGGGCTAGTTAATGGTTTGGTGTATTGTGCTAATCCCCTGAATGGGTTAATCCAGCTGGTCACAGGATAAGGGGCTGTAGGCACTGTTTTTTATTAAGAATACCTTCTTTGGAAAAGCATCAGGGCTGGGAAGGTAGGCTTTAGCCTTGTGTGCTCGTATAATCTTCCACAAATATATTGCTTGTAGGGGTTTTTAATTATTGGGTTTCTTCTCATTTGATATAAGAATGTAAAAATGGAAAGGAAAATTGCACCATCCCCACCGACCATTTAATCTAAGGACGGTGAGGGCAAAAGAAGTAGGTTGGGTCACTGGCTGACTTGTCTGTTGCAGTTACATTGATGAGATGTTGGGAGACTCTTTTTCAAAGGGCTGTGAAAGAGCCCCTACAGTGACGGAAGGGGGCTTGTTTGTCAGGACGACAAGTCCAGGATGTGATCTACCTTTACAAAATAAAGAGGAGGATTCAACCAGCCAGGGTCCTGATGAGGAATAACGCAGCCCTTAATCTGACTAGGAAAGAGAAGGCTTTGGCAGAAACTCGAAAAACAAGCAAACAGAGGAAGAGAAAATCCACAGCTGGCTGCCAGCTGAATGGAAAGTGGTCTATTACCGTGGTATCTTCTGTGCCCAGCAGTACCAAAACATAAAAGACTGAGACTAGACTTGCAGCTTGAGAGCTTTGAGTTTAAATCTCCAGGATGCCATGAATTTCATCCTAGGTCTTTGCTGATGAACTGGCTGTATTTCATATTATGTTGGAGAAATTCTGGAGAACTTGAAGTAACTGAGAGTTGAAGGAGGTGACTGCTGTTTTTAAAAAGGGGACCAGCAGAATCTGGGAACTAAGATCAATCAGTCTGTTATTTATACCTGGGATGGTTTTAAAGTGTAATCACCTGGAAATACCTTGAGAACAAAATGGATGATCAGGAGTCAAGCAAGTGATGCCAAAGTAACTTTACCTCGTTTTTTGATCAGGTAGCTTCCTTAGTAGTTTTCAGCAAAGCGTTCAACAGAGCATCATTAAGTGTGGGTAGATGCATCCCCCGAGGCTCTCTAGCTGGCTCCAAAACTCTTCTGTTCATCAGTGAATCGTTTCTGATCAGACTAGAGGAGGGTGTTGAGCCGAAATTGTTCTTGAAGGGGAGAAAGAGGATGGTGCAGTGCCCATCTCTGTCCCGTCCCACCCATCTGGGACAGAGGAGGATTCATTGTGAGCCAAAGCATGGTCTGTCTGCCACAACACTGCTTTCCAAAAGCAGAGCTGATTTTTTCAAACCCTCAGGAGGTCTGATGCTGCTGAGAACAACACCTCCTGCGGAAAAGCTGAGGGACGTTGCTAAGGAGCCTCCAGCCCTGAGGGCTCTGCCCAGATGGTCCCCCAGCCAAAGCACATTAGCATTTCTGCAGGTGCTGCCTGGACAGTCTGTTTGCACTGCAGTACATCTTGAGCATGTCAAGAGTCTTTAGATTTTTGAAATGATCTGATATCTTGGTCATTCGCTACATTTGTGGAATAAGCAGGTCTGTCAAGAAGAAAGAAGAGGCAGAACGGGGATGCCAGGATGAAGGACTACACCAAGATTCCCAGATGGATAAGATTTCCCAAGACATTGGGAAAGTGTTATTGTCCTGCATTATGGGCTACTTGAGCATTAAATCCTAATTTGGAGAACTATATTTTGTCACTGCCTTGGCCTCTTGCTTTAGGGGGCGAGGGAGAAGCCTCTCACCTGTACAAAAATGGATCTTTAACAGATGTCTCCTGACTTGGGGACTCGCAGAAAAGATTCCTTTTTCCTCATCATGTGTTTGGATCTTGGGAATAACACAGAGCTGAATCAGATCAGTTTGCTTTGCTTCACATTAATACTTCTGTTCTCATCATCAAGTACGAAGACTAGTCCAAAACAGGAATCATGGAAGCTCAGCTTCTTTTTGCAAGGCACAACTGAACAGCAAAATAAACACTGTCTTGGAATGCATCCATGAAAAACATTTCCTTCCAACCCAAGCAACCTTTGACCGATGGCTAAACCCTCTGCTCGAACCATCGGTCAAAGCTTGCTTCCTCCCTCCACAGCAGTCTCTGGAGGTTCTCCTGCTAGCTGGAGAGAGGGAGACAAAACCTCCTTACCATACCCGGTACACTGCCAATAGGGTTGGCACTGTTTTTTGGCAGAAAGGGATGGCCGATGCGGACAGTAAAGTTCTGTGCTGGTGTACATCTGTTGGTTCAAGGATGGGTGGAGAGCATTAATGTTTGAGTGCAGTTTGACATCACAGTTGCTCAGCCAGTACCTGGGAAGAAGAGATCTCCAGACTTGACTGGCAGAAAGTTGGAAAGCCAGGGCCATGCTCTATTTCAAAGTGAAACAAATCTTTGGCAGGCAGAATAAAGATAATGCAATCCTCATACAAAATTAATTCAATGATATATAAAACTGCTTCTCGGCCTTCCCAGGGTTTAGAGCAAACCTACAGACATATGGCCTTCCTTTTAAGCATTTGTTAAAAATTAAGTTATTTTGTTTCACTGCTACTGCATAAAACAGAAGCAGCTATTGAGTTCTGTGAATGAAAGAAAAAATTGATAGCACTGCCACTGATACCCAATAAATCTGGTTGGACGCAAAGTGCCCAGCTGAACTCTCTCTGTGGCACCGAGGAAGAAGCATGAGCACCAGCTCCCTGGTTTGCCTTCAAGGAGCCAACCTTGGTGATTCTCTTGGGTGCCTCTGGTGCTCCAGACAGAGAGAAAGGAGGGTTCGGGACTTAACCAGGACAAGCTAGCTATTAGAAAGCATTTGAATCCAGTGTCGCTGTAAGTTTAAATGATATTGCGTTCTTTTTGTACCATTTGGTTTTTATTGTGCACATGACGTTTTATTCTCCCTGCTACAGAAGCTAGAAGGGGGAGGGGAAGGGAAGCAGGACTAAGTGGCAGAAATGTGTGTTATTTCAGGGATGTGTGTCGAGGTTTGGAGATGACCTTTGGTCAGGTGCCTTCAGCTGCTGCAGCAGTGCTTGAAAATGGGGGTGCATCATGTCACTGAACGGAGCTCCCGCCTCAAAGGCACCCAAAGGACGACAGCTGGGAGCCTGTTGTCTGTCTGCATCAGCCCCACAGGCTGAGAAGCCAATGCCATACAGTACAGGTCAGGACTACTTTTATTGGAACAGCTCTAGTAACAGAATTTTGCAAGTCTGAATATGTTTCCCCCTCCCCGACTATCTGTGTGTGAACTAGGGAGAGGCTTGTCCAAGACGTTTTCTCACATTACTTTTTTGGCTTGGGCTCAAGTCTCTCTTATCTGACCACCACCTTGGTAGCAGCTTTTCCTCCTGCCCTTCAAGGCCATTCCCACCTCCCTCTTCAGTCTGCCTTCTCTGGATGCCCCCAGGATCTCTGATGGGGTTGGGTCCATTGTGTCCTCTTGTGCTGCACAGGTGGGGATCCCCCATCAGCCCCTGCCTTTAGAAGCAGAGCAAAGAAAGTAAATGGCAGTCACTGGACGGGCACTCCCGAGGCAGAATTTAGCACCCTCTTGGTCACCTCTAAAAGTGAGCCATTCTTGTGAGCCCTGGTGACAGCCCCCTAGTGCAGCTTCTGATTCCGCCCCCCCCCCCTGTATTTATTAATGTGGTGGCTGTATGGATTGCTGAATGCTGTTCCCTGTGCTTTTTATTAACTGGCATTATAAAATTATTTCTTTTGAAAGCTTCTGATTCTTGAACTAGGCCTGCTTGTGAAAGGCTCTTGAGTTCGAACCCTGCTTTCCACCCTCTTTCTGTTGCTTATATGTATTAAAGTTTAATGTCCCGTGGTGCTCACCTGTTCCAGTTCTGACACACTTTCTTTTTTTCCTTTTACAGAAAAGGAACAATTGCTATGGCCAGACAACTCATTTTTGCCACTTCGAAGCAACTCCTGGAAAAGATCAGCATTGCAATGAGCTTCAAAGGCTACACATAGGAATGGCTGAGTTTTTGACTTAGATCAGCCATGCTTTTCCTCAGTGGCTGAAATCTGATTAAGTATGCTGCATTCTCTCTGCACTCCTGCCAAAAAAGAAAAAGAGTCCCTGAAACTAAAAAGGATATTTTCACCATAAAGCTGTCCTTCCTTTGGAAGTGAGAAACGTGGCCTTGCTGGTGAGGGGCTGAGATGCTGCCTAAAGTCTGGATTTGGCCCTGGCCTTTTGAGGTGCGAAGCATGAAAAGCATTAAGAAAGTATGTCCAGATGCCCAGGATAGGTGCAGACCTGCAAAGTGGGGTAAGGGGGGGCAGCATTTTAGGCTAAGACTGGATCCTTAATCGGATGCTGAGCAGGGAGGCCTTGTCTCTCTCCTGCTCCAACTCCCCCTGCCAGCCAACAGCCACTGACCCATTTCAGGGCAGAGATGGAGGAGGGAGGGAGCTTGACCTCTCTCTCGGGCGGGGGGCACTGCCAGAACATCTGAGTGACTGCCACTGCAAGGTCTGCAGGGCTTCCTGCTTAGCAGCTCATCCCTTCAGTTCCACTGCCTTGGAAAAAAACGTTCCCCAGAGAATTCCACCTCCCATGGCCATCTACAGTCAGAGGTGATGCCACTTCAAAAGAAAGGGGCCAGAAGCCGCCCCAGCACACATGCAGTTGCCCGCAGGTGGCACTGAGCTGCACCTGCATGTCTTGGACCAAACTGTGCCTCGGGGGCCCCAAAAGGGCCAAGTCCAGCTGCTTGGCTGGCTGCCTTGCCCGCCCAAGGCTCCCGCAGGCCAAGGGATCTGTTGCCTCAGCCAAGGGAGCCAAGGCCTTGCGATTCTGGGAGCTGAGGCTGGCAGTTCGCCTTCTCTCCCCGGAATAGAAGGATGGCACCCTCTTTCTCAACGGTTTGGCGTAGTGCAGACCTGCCCCCTGAGGCGCTTTGGAATCTTGCTCTGCGTGGCCCATGTGATGCACAACGTGATCTCCCCCCCACCCAACCAGATGCTGTGGAGTTCATTCTGTTGCTTCAGGAAGTGTTTGGTGGGAGACCGACAGAGCCCTAGAGAATCTGGCAGTTGGGGGGTTGGAAGAGCGGCTCGTGTGCCTGCCCCGCGAAAGATGGCCAGCCGCGTTGCTACCACGATGCTACTTTGCTTTTTCCTGAAGGGGACGGGAGGGAAAGAGTTGGTACAGCCACTGGAGAAGCCTGGGCCACCAGCGGGAGCCCCAGGTGATGTCTTGCTGGTCGCCCGGAACAACCCGGAGAGGCTGCCAGACACTCCATTTGCTGCCCCCCCGGCCCTGCAGAGCATCTGCCTTCCTTAATGGGCTGCCCTCTGGGGGTGCCTAAGCGCCAAGAGTGGCATTCTGCCCTGCACTGCTGTTGTTGCTGCCGCCGCCACAACTTCACAAGACACCCCGGAGAGGCAGGGAGGCGCGGTGGGCTGGCTGGCAGAGCCGACAGAGCGGCTGGTGGAGAAGACCAGGATGGCTGGACCGGGATGTGACCTCTGGTGGTCTGAAGGCAGGAAGGCGGCAGAGTGGTGCCTTGGCTTCGCCTTCGGCTGTGGCGAGAGGGCCTCGAGGGGACCAGGAGCGGAGCGAGGCGCCTGAGGTCCGGGGGTGGGCTGCGCACTCCTCGGCTGGCGGGGTCCCTTCGCTGCCAGAATCCAGTGGTGCCTCCCCACCAATCAGCGCAAACTGAGGATGGGAATGGGAAGAGCCCCTGGCCCGCTAACTCATTTCAGAAGCCGGGAAAATCGATCTAGACGACCAAGTTGCTTCCTCTCCGTCCTTCAGGCTCAAGTTACAGTATTGCCCAAATGCCCATAAATGTTGGAAAACAGAACAGATTCCAAGACAGGGAGAGAGACATTCCTCTATCCTTGCCTTGAGACGTGTCCATCTTCTTTGGGTGGCGCCTTAATATTGGAAGCGGGTGGGGTGGAAGAATCCCGAGGAGACTCTGACTGAAACAGCATCGCAGGCAGAATCGTTTCCTGGGCTGGGGGAAGCGGCGCTTTGGCTGGACCGGGTGGCCATCCCGGGGGCTCAGGCAGAACACGCCTGTCGCCAGAGCGCTAAACAGCATCCAGGGATCTTCCCATGTGACCCATCTGAAGGATCTCAATCACATCTTAATTTAAACAAAGGACTGCATGAATCATTCATTGTATGGTGCTCCCTGGAGAGAGAGCCGCACGCAACTGGCCCCATGCAAGATCAGAGTAGGCCTGAACTATAGCGGCCTTCCAGGGAGACTGCAGCAAAGTGCTGGGAGAAGAGAACTCCCTGTGTCTCGGGGGCTAGTTTGCTGCAGGTGGTAGCTTATGAGTTCCTAGTTGAGGATGGAAGTGGGATCCCAAAGAAAGGGAGGGGATGCATCAGGTCTTGCCACTTCTTCCTTTTCCCAGCAAAAAGAAGCTTCTGGAGTTGATTAGCATTGTGTGCAGCAACGAGGAGAAGCCCCGTGGCGTCATGGGGCTGCGAGGGTGGTGCAGTCTGGGATTAGCACTGCACTCGGTGCCAAGGGGCTGTGAGGTAGAGCTGGGTTCCTGCAGCCCCCCCGGCAGAATTCCCGTCTGCGTTCTGCCTGTCTCTGGAAACATGGAAGACAACTACTTCTCAAGACGGAGTGAAGTCAGGCACCCAACTGTGGGGCTGTTAACACTCTCCCCCAAAGTACCAGGTGCCTCTAGAAGAACCAGTGTTGTCAGCTGCTTTGCTGGAAACATGGAACACACCTCCCTCTCCCTGGAAGCAGCAGCCAAGGCAGTCAGGGAGCAAAAACAAACCTTTTCCCAAGGGGGGAGGAATGCCAACGCAAGGCGTTGATCCATCTGCCGCCAAGGCCAGAAAGGAAAGGGGCCAATTCAGCCAAGCTTGTGGTGTGCCCTGCTCTGTGGCTTTTAAACGCTGCCTAGTTTGTGCTGCTGATGGGAGCATGAAGTCAGGCGGAAAGGAGGGATCCCCAGTGCCTTTTCAGATGGCAAACCAAGTTTCACGCCTCTCTTCCAGCCCTCCCAGATGAGCTGGATATGGTTATGCTACAGAAAATCACTTCAGGAACTGCAGCTCTGCTTTCTGGAGAAAGGACTTTAAGCAAGTGGGGACCAGGCACCAGCCAGGCTTCTTCCCTCTCTAGGTCCTACGACCAGGAAAACGCTGGATGCTTCAGGCTTAACATGGAACAGTCGGCGAAAGTCACAGCCATTTGACCTCAAGATCATGACTTTCCTTCTGCTGTCCTTTAGCAGATTGAAACAACTTCTGCCTTCTCCCGAAAGTGTCTTTCTCATGGGCTGTTGAGTCCCCCTGGAAATTGGTTTGAGCGACTGGGCGCCTTGGTGGTGGGAGAGGAACTCTGCTCCTGCCCAAAAGAAGCACTTAGGAAGATGTGCGTCCCTTCCTTTTGTTCTGCCATAATGGCAACTCGGGTTCCTTTCAAAGAGAGGAAGATGAATGGTAAATAGCCTCAACAGCCTCGCCAAGCAATCCCCTAGCAGATACAGTGGGGCTTTAAAAATCAGACAATGTGATTTTCTGGATTTTTCCCCCCATTTTGTCTCTCATAGTTGA